AGGTATGTATATTCAGGTTCGCTCGGAATGGTCGCCGGTCCATTCTGGGTTCTAGTAGCCCTAGTCTGCCTACTAGAGTGTGCACATGGCGTCCGACTTTGCCGGCAGATATTCAGGTTCAGTTCAGATGTGACTTCTGTCACGACGTGACTTCGGTCGCGAGATTCAGTTATAAGTTACGTGACTTCGGTCGCGAGATCAGACCGGTTATTTTTATCAGTTACCTGATATCAGTTTCAGTTCAGTTATATATACTCAGTTCATGATCATGTTATTATTTACGATGTATTACATTAGCATGAGTTTCTGCGGAGCACAGTGCCTTAGTGCTCACGCCCCACATTTTCATGATTTTCAGGTCGCAGGGTCAGAGATGAGGAGTGAGCGGGCGAGCTGTTCAGGATATTTTGTGTTTGATGTATTTGATGTTGAACGCTAAAACTTTTAAGAACTTTTATCAGACTTTTATGATTTTGCCACGCTAGACTTCCGCTAAAACTTTCAGACTTTGCTCCGACGTTAGTCGGATAATAAATTATGACCGTTTTACGTATCAGTTTTAAATTCTAACGGTTTTCAGAAGTTATGTTTTTCACGGTAACCCCCGAGTCAGTTTCGCAAATTAAGAAGTTAGTTTATTTATTTATTTATTCAGAAAATTTGCGAAAAACTGCATACTCTGATGTATAATAAGAAGCGGGGTGATACAACTTGGTATCAGAGCGCGTTTTTGCGTCTCTGAAAAGTTTTTCAGTCAAAAATTTTCAGAAAAACCTGAACCGTCACGCTCACGCCTCGCCGACACCAGGTAAGTGCTGATTCAGTTTTTCAGTTATAAACATATTACTTTGTCTATGCTCAGAAAATCAGTAATCAGACTTAGTTAAGATGCTCAAATCAGATTCAGACCTTAGGGTTCAGATATAACTCTAGAAATCAGTGCATTCAGACTTGACTTTAGAGATCAGTATATTCAGGCTTGACTCTAGACTTTAGTATTTTCAGTATGACTCTAGAGTTCCTCAGGTTTCATGTCAGTAATTATCGGCCATTTTTGGCAACTCGTCAAGAGATCTGTGTGCCTTAGTAATCAGTCAGAATATCATCATGTTCAATAATTCTAAATTCCTTTCAATGTTCAGATGACACCAACTCAGGCTACCGTGGTCGCTCAGTTCCGCGATTACCATGCCGAAAAGTTCTCAGGGCAGGGAGACCCTCGCGTAGCTGACGAGTGGATTCAGGGCCTGGAGTTTATCTTCGAGGTCATGGAGTGCCCTGAGAGATATCGCGTCATTTGCGCTCAGCTTCAGCTCACCGGAGATGCTAGGCTCTGGTGGAACGCTTACTGGGACATGCGTCCCGGTGAGAAGGCGGGATGTACGTGGGAGATGCTCAAGGACTTGATCCGTGAGAAGTACTATCCCACCTACTACCGAGCAGAGATGGAGCGCCAGTTTCTATCGCTCCGACAGGGTACTCGTACTGTCGACGAGTACGAGAGAGAGTTCACGAGACTTGCAGCTTTTGTACCCGATTTGGTCCGCACGGAGGCCCAGCGAGCGCAGTGTTTCATTCACGGGCTTTACCCAGCAGTCCGTCATAACATCGTAGGCCACGGGACACAGACGTATGCTCGTGCAGTCTCCATTGCTCAGGAGGTTGATGCTAGCCTTAGGAGGGAGGCCGTTCGTGGTCAGTCA